TGGTCTCACCTGGTAGCTGAGCTCCTTGACGCGCCGCTCAGACTTGCGCAGCCCCTTGACGCTCTCGGCGTTGCGCTTCTGCTCGTTCTCCAGCTCGTTCTCCAGCTCCCGCACACGTCCCTCCAGCTTCTGCAGCTGCTTCTTGCCCCCCTTGAGCGCCAGCTGCTCGGCCTCGTCCAGCCGCAGCTGCAGGTCCTTGATGGTCTGCTCCATGTTCTTCTTCATCCGCTCCAGGTGCGCGCTCGTGTCCTGCTCCTTCTTCAGCTCCTCTGCCATCATGGCCGCCTGCCCGTGGGGGGACAAGCAGGGGGTCCATGGCACGTCCTCCGCGGTGGCCCCGGTGACGGCCCCACCACGACACTCACGTCGGTGATGGCCTTCTTGGCCTTCTCCTCGGCATTCCGGCACTCCTGGACGGCCTCTTCCACCTCTGTCTGCAGCTGGGAGATGTCACCCTCCATCTTCTTCTTCTGGTTGATGAGGCTGGTGTTCTGGGGGGACAGGGAGGGATCTCAGCAGGTGGCCCTGGGGTGCTGCCCTGTCCCTTAGAACCGCCAGGCCTTGGAGACCCCTGCTTATCTCTGCAGGTTGAAGGATCTTCTGGAGATCTTGGTGACACAACACAGAAATGGACACCTCCCTTCTGTAGACCAACCAAGCATTCCTTGGACCTTCCATGGATCAACCCAACCTCCTCCAGACCAACCCAACCCTCCTGAGACCTTCAGGAGAAGGTGGCACTGTTGGGTCTGGGTCAACTGGAGACATCCTGGGGGTCTCCAACTCAGCAAGAGTTGGTCTGCATCACCCCAATACAAACAGACTTTCCATAGACCAACCCAACCTCCTCCCACCAAATCCAGCCCTCCTTGGACCTTCTTTAGACCAACCCAACCTCCTGCAGACCAACCCTTCAGGAGAAGAGGAGGACGTTGGGTCTGCACCACTCTGAGCCACCTTGAGCTCCCCACCAAGCAATCAGAGCTGCTTCTCCTGGGCTGGAGCATCCCTGGATGGAGGTGACCCCTCTCCTGGCAGGCAGGTGAGGTCTCACCTGGGAGTGGAGGAGCTGGACCCTCTCACTGGCCTCGATCAGCTCCTGCTCAGCCAATTTCCGGGCCCTCTCGGTCTGTTCCACCAGGCCCCGGAGCTCCTCCAGCTCCGACTGCAGCAGGGTGTTCCTGCGCTCCACCATGGCCACGTTCTCCTTCAGGTCCTCCCCGACCCTTGCTGCATCATCCAGCTGCAGCTGTGTGTCCTGGGGTGGTGGGAAGGGGTGGTGGGTCCACCCAACCATAGGGTGGGGAGAGGGTGGTGGGCCCACCCAACCGCGGGCTGGTGGGGAGGGGGAGGAAGGTCCATCACACCACCCCTGTTGGGTGGTGGGACCTCCAACACCCCAAGGTTCCCATGGACAGGTACCTTCCAGACTTCAATGTCCCCACAGACAGGTACCTTGAGGAACATCTGACACCTCCATGTCCCACAGGACAGGTACCTCCTACATCCCAGTGTCCCTGGTGTACCTGGAGGTACCTCCTACACCTCCATGTCCCCATGGGACCTTCAGGCACCTCCTGCACCTCCATGTCCCTGTGGGACCTTCAGGTATCTCCTACACCTCCATGTCTCCACGGGACCTGCAGGTATCTCCTGCACCTCCATGTCCCCATGGAACCTTCAGGCACCTCCTGCACCTCCATGTCCCTGTGGGACCTTCAGGCACCTCCCACCCCTCCACACCGCATGGACAGGTACCTTCAGGTAGCCCTGCAGAGCCTTGACCTGCTTCTGGGCCTCGTTGGCGCCGCGGTTGGCGTGGCTGAGCTGGATCTCCATCTCGTTGAGGTCGCCCTCCATCTTCTTCTTCAGCCTCAGGGCCTCGTTGCGGCTCCGAGTCTCGGCGTCCAGCGAGGTCTGGAGCGACTCCACCACACGCAGGTGGTTGCGCTTCACCTGCTCCATCTCCTCCTCCTTCTCACCCAGCTTCCGCTCGTACTCCGCCTTCACCTGGTTGAACTCCAGCTGCGCCCTCAGGATCTTCCCCTCCTCGTGCTCCAGGGAGGCCTGGGGACAGAGAGGACCTTGAGGACCACAGAGGATGGACCAGGAGAATGCAGGGGTCGAGTGGGGTGGGGCTTGTCCCACCTCAGCCTCTTCCAGAGCAGCTTGGAGCTCCAGCTTCTCGGCATCGAGCTGTTTCCGGACCTTCTCCAGCTCATGGATGGATTTGTTGCCAGCGCCGAGCTGCTCCGTGAGGTCCGAGATCTCCTCTGCCCAGGAGAGACCCCGTCAGACCCCATGGAAATGGGTGGGGAACACCAAGGTGGACAGAGGACCTGCGCTGTCACCTTGGAGATTCTTGTTCTCCCTCTTGAAGGTCTCCAGGTGCTCGAGGGACTCCTCGTAGATGTTCCTCAGCTTGAAGAGGTCAGTGCTGAGGGCCCTGGCCTCCTTCTGTGATGCCTCCAGCTCCGTCTGAGACTCCTCAAACTTCTGCTTCCACTCGGCCAACACCTGGGGACAGCCAGGTGTCACCCCCCAGCCACCTGGCCCCACCCAGCCACCCCCAGCCTCCCACACCTGCCCACCTTGTCGAAGTTCCTCTGCTTCTTGTCCAGGGTAGCGGCAGCCGCATTTGACCGCTCCACATCGGCCATCAGGTCCTCGATCTCGTTCTGCAGCCGGTGCTTGGTCTTCTCCAGCGAGGAGCATTTGGCGTTGACGGCCTCCACGGCCTCCTCGGCCTCCTGCAGCCGCTGTGCCAACTTCTTCCTGCCCCAGGGACCACCTGAGGTCACCCGCAGGCCGGGTGGGGCCACTTGAACCTTCTCCCACCCAGCCATTGGCCAAGGTTCTTCTCTGCATCTCCTCTACCATCTCCAGATCACTCTACCTCCTCCAGGACCTTCTCCAGGGGGTGGTCTCCACCCTGACCCCACAGGAACTACATCTACTGGGAGGTGACTGAACCTCTAAAACCTTCTCCAGAACCTTTTCTGGTGGTTTCCACCTCCCCAGCCCCACAGGATCTTCATTTACAGGGAAAGACTCACTTCTCCTCCTCCAGAACCTTCTCCAGCAGGTGGCCTCCACCCCTCTGACCCACAGGACCTCCATCCATGAGGAGATAAATTAACCTCTAAAACCTCCAAAATATACTCCGGTGGATGGTCTCCACCCCTGACCCCACAGAATCTCCACCTGTAGGGCGATGACTCACTTGGCCTCCTCTAAAACCTTCTCCAGAACATTCTCCCAAAGGTGATCTCCACCCCTGACCCCACAGAAGCTCCACCTGTAGGGTGATGACTCACTTGGCCTCCTCCAGCTCCTCGGTGCGTTGGATGGCATCTGTCTCATACTTGGTCCTCCACTGGGCCACCTCAGAGTTGGCCTTGGAGAGCGAGCGCTGGAGCTCGGCCTTGGCCTCGGTCTCCTCCTCGTACTGCTCCCGCAGAAGGTCCCCATCGTGCCGGGCTGACTGCAGCGCGTGCGCCAGCGCATTCTTGGCCTGGTGAGGAGAAGGTGGCACCATTGGGCCCAGGTCACCTGGAGTCCTCTTGGGTTTCTCTGGCTCAGCAGGAGCTGCTCTTCATCACCACAACCCAACCAGACCTTCTGTAGACCAAGCCAACCTTCTCCAGACCAACCCAACCCAGCTTTCCTTGGACCCTATTTAGACCAACCCAACCTTCCTCAGACATTCTGTAGACCAACCCAACCTCTTCCAGATCAACCCAACCTTCCCTACACCTTCAGGAGAAGGTGGGACCATTGGATCCAGGTCAGCTGGAGCTTCTTGGTGTCTCCAGCTCAGCAGGAACTGATCTTCATCACTTCAAACCAACCAGACCTTCTGTAGACCAAACCAACCTTCTCCAGACCAATCCAACCCTCCTTGGACATTACATAGATCAACCCAACCCCCACCAGACCAACTCAGCCCACCCTGGACCTCCTATGGTAGAACTACCTGTAGATGGACCCACCCAACCCAACCATTCTGAACCAGTGACCACAAGAGTGAAGGACACCTGTGACCCACCTGGACCCCCCCAGGTCTTCTCACCCCCACCAGACCCCACCTTCATCTCCTCCTCCAGCTGCCTCCGCAGGTCCTCCAGCTGCTGGGTGTAGGACACCTTCCCACGGGTCAGCTGGGACACCAGCGCCTCCTTCTCCTCCAGCTGCCGTGACAGCTCACCTGCGCGGGTGGGCGGGGCTTCAGGGGGGGTGGGGGCCAGGTGGGGTGGGGGATGGGGGTGCAGAGGTGGGGCAGGGCTTGGGACCCCCTGGGCCAGCTCCCACCGTTCTCCGTCTGCAGCTTGGCCCGTTGGGTGTTGGCGTCATTGAGGACACGTTGGGTCTCCTCCAGCTTTGCCAAGTGCTCGGCAGCCTGGTCCTCCATGGAGCGCGACACCTTCTCCATGGCCACCTGCAAGGAGGGGCCAGAGGAGGGATGGGGCTGGAGGCAATGGTGGGGTGGACAAGCCCCATTGCTGGAGGTGTCCAAGGCCAGGCTGGACAAGGCTTGGAGCCACCTGGTCCGGTGGAAGGTGTTCCTGGGTGGGATTCACCCAACCCTGCACTCAACCCAGCCCACCCACGTGGAGAGTCTTCATTTCAACCCAACTCAGGTCAGGTCAGCCATGTGGAGACTCTTCAGCTCAACCAGTGGAAGGTTCTTCACAGCAACTCAACCCAACAAGGTGGACGCTCATCCCAACTGAAGCAGTTGGAGACTCTTCAGCCCGACTTAACCCAGCCCAGCCTGGTGCAGTGGAAGGTGTCCCTCCCCAGGGGTTGATGGAACCAGATGATCCCAGTGGTCCTGTCCCACACAAACCATCCCATGACTCCCCGCTGTCCATCTCAACCTCCTCCTACCTTAGACTTGATCAGCTGCTCCACGTTGGCACTGAGGTCATCCAGCTCCAGCTTGAGCTCGCTCTTCTCCTTCTCCAGCTTCTGCTTGACGCGCTGGAGGTTGTCCAGCTGCTCGCCCAGCTCAGCCACGCTGTCGGCATGTTTCTTCCTCAGCGCGGCCGCCGTGGCCTCGTGCTGCAGCGTGGCCTCCTCCAGGTCCCGCCGCAACTTCTGGAATTCCGCTTCCCGCTTCTTGTTGAGCTCCAGCTGGGCCGAGGTGGCACCGCCGGCCTCCTCCAGCCGCTCGCTGAGCTCCTCCAGCTCCCGCGACAGCTCCGAGCGCTGCTTCTCCACCTTGGCCCGGCCCGTCCGCTCCGCCTCCAGCTCCTCCTCCAGCTCCTCGATCCGCGCCTGCACGCCAAGAGGGAGATGAGAGGCAGGATGGGATTCACCCAACCTCTCCACTCAACCCAACTTTACAACTGGAGACTGTTCAGGTCAACCCAGCCTGCTGGAGACTCAACCCAGCCCAACCAGCCAGAGACTCTTCAACCCAACCTACACCAGCCCAACCAAGTGGAGCCTCTTCTACTCAGCCCAACCACCTTGAGACTCTCCAACTCAACCATCAGGTTACTCTTCAATTCAACCCAACCACCTGGACATTCTCTAGTCCAACCCAAAAAGACACAGACCTAACTCCACCCCCACCTGTAGCTCCTTCAGCTTCTTCTGGAGCTGCAGAGCCAGCGCCTGCTCATCCTCGATCCTGCTGTTCTGCTGGTGGATCTCAAACTCCTTCCTGTGGAAGAAGGTGGGGCAAGTGAGGCCTCACCTGTGGCCTTCAACTGGACCTCACATGGCAGGGGGATCCAGCCTCACTTCTTGAGCTTCTCCTCCAGCTGCTGCTTGTCATTTTCCAGATCCATGATGTTCTCCTGGGTCAGCTTCAAGTCACCTTCTAGTTTTCTTTTGGCCCGTTCCAGGTCCATCCGGATCTTCTTCTCCTGTTCCAGGGAGCCTTCAAGCTGTGCAGGAACACAGAAATGGGGAGAAACCTCAAGTTTTGCTCATCTTTACCCCAGAAGTTCCTCAGCAGGGCCTGGGGTGGGACCAGCCACACTCACATCGTCCACTTGCTGTTCCAGCTTGACTTTGCCCTTAGTCAAGGTGTTGACCTTGTCTTCCTCAGCCTGCAGGTCGTCCAGTGTCTGCTGGTGGGATTCCTGCAGAGCCTTCTTCTCCTTGGTCAGCTTGGCAATGGTCTCATCCAGCCCCGCCATCTCCTCCGTCAGGTTCTTGACCTGTGGGAGAAGTGTCCGGCTTCCAGCTCAGTGCCAGGGTGGAGTTGAGGGAGGTTGATGTTCACCTCAGCCAAAGAAGTCGTTTCAATGCAGGAGAACCCAAAGGACTTTGGGTCTTCTCAACGAGCCAACAAAACCAACATCGGATCTTCCCCACCTGCCTTGGGTCTCCTCAACCCAAGCTAACAGATCCCACCCAGCCTTGGGTCTCCTCACCTCAAACCAATACCTCATGTCTTCTCAGCCCACCTCAACCATCTTTGATCATCTCAACCCAACCCAACCAGTTTTATGTCCCACCAACCCAACCCAACCAGCCTTGAGTCACCTCAACCCAACCCAACAAGGCTGAGCAGACTCAAGTCCCCTCACCTTGAGGCCAAAGTCTCTCCCCTCATCCTCACCTTGTTCTCAGTTGCGTGTTTCTCCTTCTCCACCTTGGCCAGGGTCAGCTCCAGGTCATCAATGTCCTTCTTCAGCTCCGAGCACTCGTCCTCCAGCTTCCTCTTCTTGGCTGTCAGCTCAGCGTTCATCTCCTCCTCATCCTCCAGCCGTTCTGTCAGCTCCTTCACCTTGGCCTCCAGCTGGATCTTGTTCTTGATCAGCTGGTCACAGCGTTCCTCAGCGTCGTTCAGGTTGTCCTGCTCCTGTTTTGGGGGGACAGCAAGTGAAGCGGGATTGCCCCAGGGTGTGGTGAGGGTGGTGGTCACACTCATGATGTGGTTTTGGCATGATCTGACTCACAGCCTGCACTTGGAGCTGGAGGTCATTCTTCTCCTGCAGCATGGAGACCATCTTCTCCTCCAGCTCCTTCCGCCGTGATTCCGACTTCTCCAGAGCGTCCTTCAGCCGCCCGTACTCCTCCTTCATGTTCTGCTCCAGGAGACCCCGAGCAGGTCAAAGACCCTCATCCAACATCCCCCAGACCATCAGTGGTCCCAC